AAAAAAAGTTGTATGCACAAATGTTTAAAGTGTCCTTGCCACATTCGCATTTTTAGTTTAGCACTTAACAGTTCTGTGCATAATGCCATCGATATTGAAATATATATATATATACACACACACACACACGCCCCCCCCCCCCCCCACACACACACACACACATATATATATATATATATATATATATATATATATATATATATATATATATATATATATATATATAAATTTTTTTTTTCGTCTTTAATTTTCATAGCTATTTTAAAGTAATTATTAAGAAAATTTATATCATTTTGAACTTTTAAACTTTTTTAGTAATATTAGACAACGTCTTATTGACATGGGACAATTTAATTTTGCATAATTTTGAATAAACCTTTTTTTTTTAACAATGCCAAGCTTGCAAGAACAAATAATAGTAAAGTAAATTATAATCAATTTACTAAAATAAATTATAGTTGTTTAAATTTAATGTAAAAGTAACAAGAAAAAAAGGAGATTGATACTTTCGCTATGAGATTTTTTTGTTTACTGTGCACATTCGGAAGAATGAGAACGAGTAATTTCTGGAACAAAAACATAAACAAAGCGCTTTCACTATATATTTCTTATGATTATGGAAATTTTCGGAAATGATTTTTCCGTAAAATAATGGAAATTTTCGGATTGACTACGGAAATGATTTTTCCGTAAAATAACGGAAACTTTCTGCCGGAAATTTCCGTATAAAACGCGATATTTTTTAAACAGGTATACCTGTTATCTGCAAACCTATATTGCGTTAAGATCTGCAAGCCTATTTTGCTATTACATTATCTGTCGATATTATTTTTATTATCTTTAGAAAATTTTTTATTTAAATCTTGTTATTTTTTTATTATTGGAAAACGCAAACTTTTTTATTTACTACGTGAGATATTTAAAATGTAAATATGTAACACGTCACTTTACAGAGGTTCTCGATAACATGACCTTACGGTCTTCTACGAGTCTCCGCGTTTTTTTTTTGTATATATTAAAAATCTTAACATGTTGTTGTTTAAATTATATATTTTAGCTTGTATTAATTTAATTAATGATGTCGTAAGGTTTAAAGCAAAGTACAATCGTGAAGCTATTATATTAAAAAATAACTCACTTTAAAAAAAAGATTGCTTAGACGGACGTCGAGGTGGCAGTGTAGCTATCTTCATTACTGATGTATTTATCTCTCATGAAGTTAATTAGTACTATAAAACTTTTCTCAAACAAATTTTCGTATCTGTAAAAGTTAATAATAAAGACATACTTATTTAGGTTATACACCGACCAAATGATGCTAATTTAATATAATATATCGCTGAATCCTTCAAATTAGCTCATAGCTTAATTAGGAAGCCCTATGATGGCTACTTCATTGTCGGTATTTTTAACATATCACATTTAGGTTAATAAAACAAAGAAAAAGTATGATCCTTGGGTTACTCTGCATATTAAAAACCTAATCCGAGCAAAAAATTCTGCTTTGTTATATCAACTGCTCAACTAAATGGAAGAACAATAAACTTAGAATTAACTGCTATCTTCATAATCGTTCCGTAAAAGGTGAAATATTTAAAGCAAAAAGAGCATTTAAAAAAGAAAAAATATTCCCTCTCAATTGACAAAAAGGTGATATTACCCTGAATGAACCTATAATCACAACTTGGGTTTTTCTATTTCAGACATTATTAACTTATCAATCTAAACCCCTATAAATAATTTATTTATTTACAAAAATCTTTCATAAATTCTATAATTCTAGAATACTATTCACTCTCTAGAAATTAGCAAACTTAGATCGGTCTATAAAAAACCGAAAGATAAATTACTTGCTGAAAACTATGGACCTATTTCACTAAACTCTGTTGCTTGCAAAATAGTCAAAATACTTATAAGTAACAAAATCATTAAGCACATTAATGATAATAAAATGCTCTCTGCAAATCAACATTGCTTTTTTCACCATAAATTATGCGTGACTAATCTAGTAGAGACTTTTGATATTGTTTCATCTTCTATAGTATTTCACCACTTTATTGATGTGCTTTTAAAGTGCTTACAAGTCCTTGGAATGCAAAAAGACATTTACTTTCATTGATGAAAATATAACTCTCAAGTTATATAAAGTGTTTATTAGACCAGATCACAAGTATGCAGTGTCTATTTGGGTTTCTTATTTAAAAACTGATAAAACCTTTGTTCAATCAATTCTACGCAAAGCAACAAAATGGACTTCCAGCTTAAGACATCTTTAATACTGCGAAAGACTAAGAAGATTAAATCTACCGTCATTGACTTGGTGCTTTCGTTAGGGCAGCGATAAGCATAGGGTTTGGCAATGATATATTATATAACTAGATGTCTAACTTCGATCCGAAAAGTGAAGCCGCTTTTTGCAATTTTTACAAATGACGAATTAAATTTGTAAACAAATATTTTTAACTTTTATTTTCATAAATGAAGTAAATATATTTTAAATTTAAATACTAGTTACGTAAAAGTCTTAAGCGGAAATTATAATACTTGAAATATAATAGTTAATGATTGCTTAATTTATTTTTGATTAAAAAGAGAATAAAGTTTTAAATAGAAAAGTAAAACGACAGACGCTTTTGAAGCATTTTTATGAATTAAAATACTTTTTAAAAAACATAGGCTCATAAAAAAACTTTTATATGTATTTTATAATTATTAAAATTTGTTTTTGAAATATCTTAAATTTATAGGGAACTTTTGAATTGCATTTTTAATTTTTATTCTACACCGGCTTCAGCTTTTGCCCTTTTTACAAATGGTGGACTATTGTTATAAACAAATAAAAGCGGCTTCACTTTTTATCCAATAAAATTCCGCAAGTTAGATTTTTTTAGATCTAGTTCATTGGGATTAGGAGAAATTTTCCGTATTTTTTTCCCGCATTTTATAAATTTAAAATTTTAACATATTATGATATAAGTTGCTCATTTAGAAAATATAATAGCAGCACTTATGTTATATTTGACATTACCCATTTGAGTAGCAACTGCAAAAAGATCCTTAAGTACATTAAAACACATTTACGGACAACAATGGCAAAAGCATTTTGTGTGCATTAGACCTAATAGCTACTGAGGCAGAAATAGCAGCTTAATTAAATTTAAAAGGTTTTATAGACCAATTTGCAGTAAGGCAAGAAAAAAACTTTCATTAGATTTTCTACTTACTGTACTTGCATAGTGAAACATACTGGTTTCTATTTAATTAAATCAAAATTTTATTAAAAAACAAGGATTTTGTTTTAATGTATAACTTTTGTCAAGAAAAGTGACGGAGGGGGGGGGGGAGGGAGCAGAGAAATACTTTAGGGGCCTGAATTGAAATTTTGCGGGAAGGCCTATTTTTAGCTACTGGGTAGAAGCGCTGAAAAATTTATAGATATTTTAAAGTAAATAAAAAAAATTGTGAAGCATTTCTACAGCAGTCCACAGAGCATTCACCAACAAGATTTAAATAATGTGCATTAAAAGAGCATGGTACAAATGTAGCTAATAGATTAACTTTTTTAATGCAAGCTTAAAGTCCTACCAGATATGTTAGACGAATTGTAGTAACTTTGACCACAACAATCGTTTATATCTAATCTATGCGATTCTTAAACTAAAAATATAGCATCTGATAATTCTTCAGATTTATGACCAAAGTTGGGTAAAAACCTTAATTTTTCTACTGGACAGCCATTCTTTTGAACATTCCTATAAATGAATAACATGGCTAATGTCAGGAGTAGAATTAATACAGATGAAACATATTTAGCTTCCTTTATTACTTTTACCATTTGCGTATAACATTATCTGCTATTACACCATTCCGTAAATTCGTTTCTGGCCTAATTGGAGGAATATTTGCGTCTGGGAGTTGATTAAAAATGTTTTTAGAATAATTAAAAGCTTTAAAATAAATACATAATTTGATGCTGAAAATTAAATGTTAACTTTTTTTTTATATTTACATTTTAATCATTCATATATGTTATAATGCATTAAAAATGTCTCGCATTATATTAGGCGAGAAAATTTTATTAAAAAGTAACTCACTCTATAATACAACTCCTTAAACTAACTTTAAATATGACGAGCATTAAATTTTTAATTTTAGTTGATAAGAACGTAGATCTGCTGCAAAATTGATTTATTGAAGTCGAGTCACCGGTAGCCTTTTTATGACTCCGGTTATAACTACCGCTTCTTCTAAAACCTTAGCTCTTATGCGCATATGATCAAAGCTTTAGATACTAATTCTTATTTACATTTATAATCTTATAAACATTTAAGATCCTATAGTATGCTTTAGACCTCACCACACTTTATTAATTTGCTCTTTTTTTATTTACAGTGAAAGAATTATTTTGTTTATTATACTCAGTGAGAATAAATTTTTCAAAAGTGTTTGTTACCTAAAATCTAAATTTTAATTTAATGCGATAATAAATTTAAGAAGAACTTTTCAAATCTAATAAATAAATCTGATAAAATCAAACCTAATAATCAAATCTAATAAGTTAAAATTAATAGAAAGCTTTTATTTAAATAAACTTTTAAACACTTTGTAAAAATACACTTATACAAAAAATTTGTCCTCACTTCAACTGTCCTCACAATCTAAAAGGCTAATTTTCGTTAAACAAATTCGATACTATTTGTGGACTAATCTAAAAGGCTTTGTCATTTTTTTGAGCGATTTTTTTCATATAAGAGTGATTTATTCTTTTAAAATTTGTAAAAAAAAATAAAAAAATCTGCAATATCAAAAATGGCTAGTTCAAAATTTAATGACAGGTTGGTCAAAGTTAATAATTTTCCTTATGCTAGAAGCCTGGTCAAAGGTACCTTCATGTACCATCGAAATTTTTTCAAAAAAAAAGAAGGATTTCATTCTTTAAAGGTTAGGGTGGGTCATGTTAAAACATAAATTGAAAAGGTTTCAAAGTGAGCTAACCCACTGTTAACATTGCTTAAAACTAGATTATAGACAAAACAAAAAATCTATCAATTTTTAGCTTCTTGAATGATACGTTTTGCTGTAATTTATCGAGTTAAAGATGGTCTGGCTCTTTCTGCCTCAACAGATATTGATGCTGGTCTTGAATTAAGAGATAGTAAGCGTTATGCAAAAGTTATTACACGGAAAATAAAGCAGTTTGGCACAAGAAGTTGGATGGCAGTTGGACAGTTCAGAATTTTGTAAGTAAATATTAAGATGTATTATATCTTATTGTTGCATTTTTTTTAATCATTATTTTTATCACATAACCTTTTTTTATCATTGTTTTTATCACACGTCTGAATTAATAATTGGGTCAAATCATTATATTTCAATTAATTTTGAGAAAACTTTGTGGAGCACCATCTCTGATTTTCCTCATTTTTACATATTATTATCTACATAATATAGATAAGTTAAATTTCAAATTTCAGACTTCCTAGTGAATTGGTTTAGAAAATATAGCTTTATCAACACTGCACAGTGGCTCCCCTCAATTTAAGAATTGTAAAAACAGACTACTTTAAAGTCTCATAATTTTTTTGTAACTTTGTCTAATTTTTTCTAGAACTGTTTTCTGGGTAGTTCTGTATTAAAAATACTGGTTTTTGTTAACTTGTATTGTATAAAAAAAAATTATAGCCTCCTCAACTTCGAAAAAAATTTGAAAAATGCTAAAAAAAGTCAAAATGAAGTTAACTATAGTATTTTTCTATTCATCAACAAGTCCTTACAGTTTAGTTTTCTGATTAGCTATTATTATCTGCAACAAATAGGCAAATAGTAAGCTGCTTGTTGCAGTTGAGAACTGAAGTATATCTAAAAATGTATTGTCCATTTGCCAATGAAAGACATGGTTAGTAGCCCTCTCCTTGATATAATCTTTTTACTGGGTAAGGACACAAATTAAGAGGTAACAGCTCTTTAAAACCTTGTATTATTGTTGAAACATGAAACTTTAAACATTATTTACACTATTAAGAAGTGTTATATCTCAAAGTCAAAAAATCTTTGATTTTTTACAAAATTAATATTGAACCATAGACTTTAATAATATATCAAGGGGATATTTATGATACATCAGGGGCTTAAAAATATAATAACTTATATAATAAAAATAAATAATGATTAATAAATGAAAAAAGTCAAAACTTGTTAGAAACCACTTTTATTATTAGGTTTAATTTTTAATTTTTAATTGATAATTAGTTGCTAATTTAAAACAATTAATACAGTATAATTTATTTAATCTTTTTTTTTTGTTAGATAGGAGTAAAACCCTCATGTGTTTTGGAGCTCAGCCTTATGTAATGTGACAATAATGTCACTAACTGGATACCAATCGATATCTTGTGTTTTTGGATATTTGAACTAAATACTAGCTTTATGTAAACAGCTGACAAATAAATAGTTTTTTTAACATCTATTGCCTTTCCAGGGAAAAATTCAACAAAATACTTTGCTAATACCCAATCTGCAATATTGATGTCAACATTTTCTGACTTTTGTCTATTTATGCAAGTATCTTCCAGTATGCGAAAAATGTCAAATGTTGTGCTCATTATTGTTACATAAGCTTTTAAACATCACAGTAGAAGTGAGAAACAATGATATAATAATAGCAGAAACATTCTCAAATTGTTTTGCAAGTACTTCATGAGTGTTAAGAGGTGTTTCGTCTTCAAAAATATAGAGAAATCTAAAAATAAATTTTAACATAAATCTTATAATCCAAGAACATACTTTTTAAAATGTATTTAGTAAGCTCTTGCTTTAAAGTACTGTTTTCTCTATAATTTTCCTTATAAAAAATTTTTACAGCAAAAAGTTAAAAATTTGTTTTATTAGGATTGACTTTTTATAACTAAGAATAATATTATCAATTAAAAAGTAAAAATCAAACCTAAGCTATCTTCTTTATTTCAATTAAAAGTCCATAATGATATTCAAGACATCCATTATTTGAAAAAAAATCATAATCAAAATGCATGTGCACTCAGACAACAAAGTGCTATTTGATAATTTTAAAATTTTCTTTAGCAACTAAAAACATGTCTTATGCAGGGATTATCTTTTTCTGGAATTCTGGATGTTTTTCTTAACTTTTAGTTTTTCCGGATATCCAAAACATTTTCCATACATACAAGTTTAGGTATATATTTTTGTAATATATTTGTTTTTTTAATCTTTTTCACTCATCATTTATAGAAAAGTTAAGATAGGTTTGGATAAAAAATTTAAAACAACTCAGCTAAAAGCAAATTTAAGAGGAAAATATATTTCGGATATTAAACCCAAACAATTTTCCTGATTTTTAAAATATGACCTGGATGATCTATGCTTATGGTGTCAAAATTTGATTTCCAATCGACCTTTGGAGAGACAGATTATTAATTATTCTTTTCATTGTACCACCTCCATCACATGGACTTTATTCATGTGCAGTGTCAAAAAAATACCAATCTGCTTTCAGCTCGTAGTCTTTTTCATGAAAACAAAGGTTTTTAAAATTAAACCTGTAATACATTAAGAAAAATTATATTCATTAAGTGAAATCAACAAATTTGATAAAAAAAATTAATATCCTAACTATTCTATACCAAATTTGAAAAGCATCATTTTAATAGCCATCATTCTAATGGTTAGTTTAAAATTAATTAATCAAAATTTTTTAAATGATGTGAATTAAAAAATTAACCTACCTATTTTTATACTGGCTGCCTGCACATCAGTGAAATAATGAATCTTCTAACCTTGTGGATATTCTTCTTTCAGAATAATTACAATTTTTGAAATATAACTGAAGACTGCCTCAGTATTTTGAATCAGATTGTCTGATATAAAGCAATAACATTTGCTTTCTAGGGTCAGTTTTCCATTTAAAGATTTCATATATACAGCAGAAGGATGAAGAGTTGTCTGATTTTTAGAAAAATATGACGTCTGAACAAAGTTATTATATTTTTACCCCAGGAATCGAAGCAGAGTTCAGTTGATTATGATCCAAAGTGACAGTTGTCAGATTTACTTTAACAATCTTTGAATTACTTGAAAGAGGGTCACAGCATGACTTATGAAATGTTGGATAGTGTTTAATAAATTGTAGACTATGATGAGTACAAATTGTATGCAGGTTATTATTTACTACTCTAGTACTTAAGGTCAGCAATTATTTCTCCTCATTTAATATTTCCAAAATTCCAGGCTGACTGCAGTATGTATTTTTATGACAATCTAACTTTAGTTCTATCCCAATAGAACAAGAATTTGTTATTTTCTTCACTATAAAAAATTGAATAGAATTGAGTCGTTATTGAACCTTCAATATAAGTTTATAAATAAAATATATGGAACACAAACTAAGATACAAACAAATAAAGAAAGAAAAAATTTGCTATAACAAAGTTTAAAATATCAAACAGATTTTATATTTTGCATCTTCAAATGTTTGCATTTTCAGATAGTTGGATCTTATGGTCTTGATTGCTGTTAAGTTTAGATCAATACAAAATGTTAGAAAAAATTATGAGCATCTCAAAATGGCTGAATATTGGACTTTTTTTTGCAAATAGACAATACATTTTTAGATATATTTCAGTTCTAAACTGCAATAAGCGGCTTATTTTTTGCCTATTTGTTGCAGATAATTTTAGCAAATCAGAAAATTAAACTGTAAGGGCTTATTGATGAATAGAAAAATATTACAGTTAACTTCATTTTGACTTTTTTAAGCATTTTTCAAATTTTTTTTGAAGTTGAGAAAACTATAATTTTTTTAAAATCTGATACAAGTTAACAAAAACCAGTATTTTTATACAGAACTACCCAGAAAACACTTCTAGAAAAAATAAAAGACTTAATGAAAGTTACAAAAAAGTTATGGATAAAGCCTCATAACTTTTTTTTCTGTTTTTACAATTCCTAAATTGAGGGGAGCTATTGTACAGTGTTTATAAAGCTATATTTTCTATACCGTTGCACTTGGAAGTCTAAAATTTCAAAGTCTAAAAATTCAAATTTCAACTTGGAAGTCTCAAATTTCAAAAAACATATCTACATAATGTAGGTAATGATATGTAAAAATTAGGAAAATTAAAGATGGTGTCCCACAGGCCATTGGAGGAAACATAATGATTTGACCCAATTATATCATTATTATTATTATTATTACTATTATTATTATTATTGTTCTTATTATTATTATTATTATTATTATTATTATTATTATTATTATTATTATTATTATTATTATTATTATTGATAGTTTAAATATTTTGTTTGCCTAAGCTTTATTCTTCTTATATAGCGAATATATAATATATAGCGAAATTTGTAAAAATATAGCAAACTTTGTGTTTTATAGCAAAAGCAATCTTTTAATTTAATTTTTCCCCATTTATTTATTACTGTATGAATGTGCCTCAACCATAACAACTAACATATAATTCAAAATAAAAATAACGGATAAGGTAATTAGAAAATTATTGTCTAAATATTAATCTAAGACTTATACAAAAAGCATAATAAATTATTTCATTAATTGGATTAAAAATTATTATGAATAAATGTTTTCAAAGATTAATTGCAAAATTACTTTAGCAGTGCAAAAATACATATCGACTTGTTCCAATAATGATTACTATGGCACTGCCACGGCACTAAGCTGTTGGCCTTTGTGCATGAGTGGTCTTCACGCACATATAAATATAAATGTGTCAAAAGAAAGAATGTCTAGATAAGCCTACTGTACGAATGCTCCCTGCTCTCCCCTACTGACCGATTACTTCTGTTAGTAATGTATAAAATAATGATTTAGTACTACTTCCTCTTTAAATTCCTTTCTATTTCTATAAAAAGAATTCCATTTCTGTTTTAATATGCTAATACTAATCTTATCTCCTGCAAATTGATATAAAAAAATAAAAAACCATCACTGTCAACAAAACGTTGAAAATGCTTTGAAACATATTCAAGAGCAAGGAATATGATTAAGAAAGTTTACCAAAATCGATTGATTGACAGAAATAAAAGTATAAAAGCAGGTCAACATGGAAGCAAAAGGCCAACAGCTTTATCAGTTGAAACTAAAAAGTTATTGATTCATTTAATTCAATGTTGTAGCAATTAGGATTGTGGTTTGACACAAGCTGATATAATTTCTATTGTTCACTATTTGAAAAACACAAAGCAAGAGCATTTA